ACCAAATCCAGCGACAGCCAAACCCCTGGCCTCAGCCCATCATCTCCGAAGAGCGCTTCCCACGTGGTAACCTCCTCTGCGGGCCTTGTGCTGTCAGAAGGGCACACCAGGGACACAGCAGCGGCGCCTTCCCTCCCATGCAGGCTTCAGTGCTGTGTGTGGCGTCCGCTCCACAGAAGCACGGAAAAGTAAGTCTGTTGGGCCCAAGATTGATCCTGGCCCAGGAACAGTTGAAACGCTTTCTGCACAGGCCCCACAGGCTGGGGCAACTGCGTAGGAGTCCGTGTCTGCTGGGCAGGCTGGTGAGGTGGCCGGCAGGAGGGACGCGGGAGGCCGTCCAGGCAGGCAGGGAGGCGTGAGCATGAAGGGAGCCCACAGGAGCAAGCAGGCTACGGAACCGAAGCCCGGCAGGCATACAGCTGACAAGCACAGCTGTCGGATTAGAACTCACGCACACCCCGGCTGCTGGCGGGAGTTTATCAGGAGGCGGCCCCAGCCCCATCTGTAGTAGGGCGTCCGGGCAAGTCACCCACCTTGTCTCCCAGGAGCCTGCAGAGATGGCCAGATTCTCCACAAAATGGGGGCAGCCTCTGGCTCCCTGGGGAAGGGTACCCCTCGCCTCACCATCTCACCCGAGGCCCAGTTACCTTCTGCAAGCTGGGTGGGGCTCCTGGCACTGGGACATGCCAACCCTTCCCGCTGACCTGCCCGCTCACCACACCCCGCGCTCCACCACCTCCGTGCCCTACGCCGGGCTGTGAGGTCCCGGGCGTCCGGGACACTGAGGTGCCTGCCGGCGCCTGCCACTTCCTTGTGCCTCCTTGGGCTTCTGGACGGCAGCTCTGCTGCGGGCACCCTGGTTCGTGGAGTGTCATCTGCAATTAGGGGCGTCTCTGTGCCCCCCACCCTGTGGGTAGCCTTGGAGTTGCTTATAAAGACGTCAGCAGCCCCTGCCAACCTCGCTCCGCATCAAGCTCAGCTCGCAGGCTGCTCTGCCAACCTAAGGCCCCGCATTTGCCCCGTAAGGAAGCAAGGACTGGCATCTCCTGCTTTCCTTCCCTGTCCGGGGATCGCATGATCTGAGTCCACGCCACTGAGGAAGCCAGGGGAGGACTGACTTGGGGTTCGGCACCACCCAGCTGAAGCAGTGCTACGTCCGGCCTGTTGGTTTGGTTTGGAGCCAGCTCAGTTTGCACACCTGGGCCAGCTCAGCCAGGGACTCGGCCCTCTCACTTGCCAGTTTAGCGAGGGACTGGAGGGCTCAGCAGGGCCTAGTTAGCAGGGTTGAGGGCTAGTGACCTCAGACTCAGCTTGGAGTTGTGGTTGGTTGATGCACTTGTTGGCGGATGAGCTCCACTTCTTGCAACCTTGGGTGTTGGAATCGAGACCTCGATCTTTGTCTCCCTGAACACAAGTTGGCATCGCTGGCCAGGGTTGCTATCCCAGGCTCCAGGCCTTGCCCAGGTAGCAAATACACAGGTGCAGAGCTGGCCAAGCCCTGTGGAACAACGGCGTGCACAGGAAGAAGGCTCTAGGGCCCCCTCGGCTCCCATCCTGACGTCTGGTCTGCGTCAGTGTTGGGCCTCAAGGAGGCACCAGTAGAGATAGCAGCAACGAGATCACAATCGTTAAGTGTTTATCCAAGGACACTGAGTCCACTCCACCTCGACTGATGTGAAGCACAAGGACACAGTGAGACAGCACCGTGGGCACCATGTGACCAACTTCCCAGCCTCCCTTGCAGGTGGAAGTGGTCATGTGACCAGAGTAAGCCAATGGAATGTGGGCAGAGCTAGGTGTGCCCTCCAGGAGTGGCCTGTAAGGTCCCAGTCAGTCCACCTCTCTCTTTCTCTTCTGGTGTTTGCTGGTGGGTGCAGAGGGCCCAGATCCCATGAGTGAGGAAGTGGGCAGGTGGATAAACCCCGGGTCCTTGATGCAGCATGGAGCAGAGACCCCTGCTGAGCCGAGCTGCCTGGCTGCATGGGAGAGAAGCAAACTTGAGCACAGGGAATGGAGAAAGCGAGGGGGGCGGGCACCGTGCGCGGGGGAGCCAGGCCAGACCGAGGCTCAGGGATGCCGTCTCTCACCACCATGCACTGTGAGGGTCCAAACTAAACAGACCACAGTGTGCAGATGGACAGCTCTCAGCTGGAGTCTGGGTGTAACTGCACATGATGTAAGGGAGTCGCTACTGCTGCCACTGTTACTCATCTCACCACTCTAACCCACTCCCAAAGCATCAACAAACTCATTCATCAAGCGCTCGATGACCTCGCGGGTGCCGAACAGTATGCCAGGGGCTGAGGTTACAGAGACGACCAGAACACAGCTCCCACCTCGCCTCGCTGCATGGAAAAGCTAGCCAGAGAGAAACCACCCAGACAGTGAGCTACATTAAAAAGGGACAAGTATAGTAGCAGAGGCGGCACAGGAGGGAGGCACATGCCAGGGCAGGTAGGGATGGCGTCAGGGCAGGCTGGGATCCAGTGCCAGAGAGGATGTGGCATTTTAAAAATCACTGGAATCAGTTGATATCCAACAGTTTGGGTTTCTAGGAGGGACAACGGGTGGGGTGGGCTGCATGGACAGAAGCAGGGAGGTGTGAAGGTGCATGGAGCGTGTGGCCCGAGGTCTGCACTTGGCAGCAGAGCTCATGGGAATATCCAGCAGTACAGAGACAGGGTCAGACCTAGTTTCAGAGAGAAGTCCTGGAGTGGGAACAGGGTACTGCACAGAACAAGTACTTGGTGAACATTAAGTGTGTGGATGGATGGACAGATGGATGGGTGGGTGGGTGGAAGGATGGAAGGATGGATGGATGGATGGGTGGATGGATGGATGGATGG